GTAAATACTTAGTAAGTTACTAGAAAGTAGCTCTTCATCATATGCAAAAAATAAAATTGAAGACATTGCATGTCATTGGCTTCCAAGAATAGGAGAAAGGAGATTTTAGAGTCCGTTTCTGGTTCATCTATAAGACAGTGTGTTGGATCACATTGTAAAGAATTGTGATGCAGAGATGAGAGCACTAGTTTGAAATCAACAGCTGGATTTGAATTTCCATTCCACCTATGACTATTCAGGACAAGTCTCTTAAGCCCTGCATAGCCCAGTTTCCTCATTGTTAGACTGGCAACTACTAACACAGAAACCATTCTACTTACAGCATGTTTGTAATTGAATCTATTTGTTGGAAATTCCAAAGTGACTAAGCTTGCCGTCACAAATGCACTTCCAGGAACAGGAGCATGAATCAGTTTCTCAAAGCTTTTAATAAAAGCTGGTGTGCTTGTTTATACGTGTTCAATGCCATGTCTGCCTAGGTGATAAAATAATGCTTGTACACAGAAGACACTAAAAAATATAGCTTTTGAATGAGTGAAGGACATTTTCCCCCAAATTGTTGTCATTTGTCATTTATCTCTGCTGGAAGTCTGTGGGGGCAGATAACTGTTCTCCTTGGGGATCTCCCAAGTGTCCTGAGGAGGTCCTTAGGAGCCACAGCCTGCATTCTTGTCGCCTCACCCCTCATGTGGATGTGAACCAGACTGGAAGAGGCGTTCCCTTTGCCTTCATGCAACAGTTTCAAGAGCAGAGTCTCTTCTGGCAGCTCTTAAACTTCTCCCACGCTAGCCCTCCCCAGAATGAACAGGAGGCTCCTCTGCCCATCTAGTGTCGAGGTGTCGACTCATGAAAAGTCATCCTTTGTCTTCGTCTTCCATTCTCTTGCTGATATTGTCCACGGGCACAGGCACAGCACTTCTGTATGTTTCATGATTTGCTCTTTGCCCTTTATAATCATTTCTACTATTGAATAATTCATCTTATATTGGTGTGAAGAGTTCCTGTGTCTCTCATCCCTTCTAGTTTTTAAAAATCTCTTCTGTTTCCATGGTAATTGTATATATCAACAAGGACTTTGAACACTCTCCATTTTCTTGGATTTTTTGAACCTGATGTGGTTAATAATGCTTGGGAAAACTTCTCAAAAAAAGACTCTCACAAACACAGCAAAATGCATTGATGGTGAACAGCACAGTTTTTTAGTTCAAAAGGCAACATATACATTCCATATCATCTGCTGGTACCATGTAGTATGTTCTCACAGGAGAGTTTGGGATATTACCTGTGGCTATCCACAGGTTGAAAGTTGGTAAGCAGAAGAACATCTGTAACTAACCTACTTTTTTCTGCAGTTTTGTTGGGATAAAAGTTAAAGTGCTCTAGTGCACTGTAGCCTATAAAATGTTATCCTTTCTGTGACTCGTGCCCCATTTCCACAGTGCCATGTGGGGACACAAGGAACAGATCTTTGTCCTCAGGAAAAGTGGAAACTCAGAGTTGAATTTCCTCCTTACTCCAAACATCACCATGTACGCGTGCGCGCGCGCGCACACACACACACACACACACACACACACACACAGAGGCACACAAACTCCTAAGAGCTGGAGGCAGGGACACAGCAGGAAGGATAGTATAGACGAAATTCCTAGTTGCTGATCACTTGCTAACTCTCTTCATTTTCCCAAGAAAACACCTCCTGGCATTTGCTTAATGGAAGGCACCTTTCTAGTCAGTCACTTGACAAGTGTTCTAAATTGGATTTTAAAAGGACAGAGGTTGAGATTAGGGTTAGGGATTTTTATTACATCTCGAAGTGCCTGTATAAATTACACAGTGGGGATTTTCAGTTGAAAGCTTTTCCAGATAATAAACAGGAGACTCATGTATTGGCATTTTTGTAATGCTATAAGAATGAGGAAGTGTAGGTGCTGGCACGTATTCATGTAAACAAAAAGCGAGCGACAAATTTTTACCTTGAGTTTTAGAATCACACTCTTCTAAATAATTTACATATAAGGAGAGATCATAGAGATAACCTGTAGGAAAACAGAAAGATGAATTTTTTTCCAGCTAAACTTGTCTTGCTGCATAACTATCTTGGGCATATCAGATTTTATAAAGATACTTTTCCTCTTACATTTCACACTTCACTTTCACTATCGAGAAGCCAAGTGGAGGCATTTTCCCTGGTGAGTGGGAGTTGTAAGGACTAGCTCAAGAGTAGAATAGGCTTAGGCAAAACGATAATGTAGGTGAAATCATTCATGTAACCTGAATCCTCTTTTAGTGTCTTGAGCCTAAGCCCTGTCTTAATCCCCAGAACCCCAAAGTTCTGCAGACAAAAAGTTCCCCATAGAAGTGGCCTCATGATCTTTAAACAGAGCCCTGGGGCTTAATCTTCCTTTTGCTGCCATCTAACATTTAACAATTCTAGTATTCATTTCCTCAGGGCCTCAGCTTGTGGACAAGCTAATGTGTGCCAACATACCCAGAGTTCTTATGATCTAAAAGTGTTATTCTCCTGGGTAAGTGGTAAGTGGTTTGCATTTCAGCAACGATAAATAAATGCCTTGGTTCAAAAGAATGACAGGATAGGATTGTTAAAAATATTACTTCCTCCAGGAAGCTTCTGCCTCCCTCTACCCTCATGAATTAGAAGTTCCTGGGAAGGCTCCTAAGTAAAGCGTGCTTCTCCCGTCATGGTACTTGGCGCTCGTCATTGACAACACTTGTTTAATAAGCTCTGTGGGTTCAGCCCCATGTATATTCATATACATGTACTGTTATATTAATTCCCACCACCCGGCTCCCTGATGGAACCCTTGGAGGACATTAATAAATACTGTCAATTGAAGAATGAACAATGCTAAGGGTGTCAGGAACTCTAGAAAGATAATACAGTGAGGGAGAGAAAAGCAGATGGCTTTCACTGATGCTTCCTACTTGGTTATTTTATAACTGACAAACCTCTGAAAATAACACTTAAAAGTAATAGTTTTCAGTATCACTTTAAGTGCTTTAGAGTCACACTCAGCATTGGATGTAAATAGTTAAGGAGGGTAGCCTCGATCTGCTACTGCCATAGGTATGTTTAACATACAGAAATTACACTGAAAGTGTCACGGCTTTCTTGTTTTACCCAGTGAGAAAATCCACTGCTCAAGTTGAAACCAATGTGGAAATTACTCCTTCCATCAAAAGGAGCAGAGAATGAAAACAAAAACGACAAAATCTCCTCAGCTCCACAGTGATGACATAGAATGTTCAGATAAGAAAGAGAAAGAAGGCTTTGGGAAAACAACAATAAGAAAGTATTTCAATGGCATTCCAAGTAAATAGTGACTAGAGTTTTGGCTCAATGTACTAGCAACACAGTGATAAGGGCTCTCCTCAAAGTAAAGTGGACTTGGAGCAAGTGAACGAGGAAACACTGAAAACAGGGGTGGGCTGAGAAAAACGCATCCTCTCAGAGCATGCAGTGAAGGCTCAGCTGAATCAATACAAGGAAAGGAAAATTTACCCCAGACTGTAGATCACTCTGTTAACCTTTCTGATGGGAGTCTTCTTCAGTTGTTAGTGAGGGGGAGTTGTAGGTTTATATTAGATCTGCATTGTAATACAACACAGAGTTTAGCAATGCACTGTGGGTAAGACAACTGTGCAACCAACTGGATGTAGTTCTCAGTGATAGCACACTCGGTCATTTTCAATTCTGCTTTTCTTTCATTTTCCCTTTTTCCTTCTCATTTTCTCTCTCTCTTTCTATCATACTTCAAGTTAAAGAATCTCTTTATATGCTGCCATAGACAAATATATATGAACCACGTAGACCAAGAAACTAGGTAGTACACGAAGTGACCAAACCCAGTAAAAGCCTATAACTTCTACATGTTTTACACATACACACACACTGCACTCATTAATTCCCTCAACACCTCTACTCTGTAAAAATTTTATGCCTCCCCTGCTTTTGGATTAGTAAACAAATTCAGGTAGGCTCAGTCATTTGACCAATGACAAACAACTAGAACATGGAGGATGAATTTGAAGCATCAGAGTCGGTACCCTTTTCTCTGAATATCTTGGGAGATAATTGGTACGAAGTACATAAAAATCAATATTGTCATTATTGTGTACTTAGATAACAAAGCAGTGTCTTCATTCATAATGGATTGCGGCTCCCCGCTCAGAAAGAGGACATTTTTAAAAACTACAAGATACAACTGAGAGCTTGGAAGCTACCCATGCATAAGTTTTAAAACCCAGCAGCTTCATGGTTTCCTTCTTCCTTTGGCCTGGCCAGTGGACACAGTGGTCACGTTCCTGGCATGGAGATGTCATTCACGGCAGGTGTTCTTGAATTGGAACCTAAGGCTCCAGGATTTTTGTGGGTTCCTCCAGAATCCTACACTCCTTATACACTCCCACAGGGTGCCTGCCCAGGTGAGTGGCACGCTTCATGATATCCTTTCAGATTCTATCACTAATACTTCTCCAACCGTGACTTACAATGTAACGTGAGGCAGGATTAGAATGTTGGTATATTTTAATTTGCTCCTATGCCAAATCACAGTGCTTATATTTGCAACTCTGAGAATTGACGGGGGCAATAAACAGATTTACATTTCACATGTGTGAGCACCACGAAGTACTTTGAACTTCACTAAATGGGGAGAATGCAAGACATTACATTTAGAAACTGTTTAGGAGCAGTAAATGGAGAGAAGCAATATTTTTGCTTAAAAAAACAACAACAACATCACAACCCCTTCATTATGTGCAGCACACAATTTAACAGGTGTGTGATTTATTCATTTATTCACAGACTCATGGACCAACCATTCCATGACAGCACTATTGTCTGTGAAGCAAAACACATTTACAACAAACTGTATCAGCTCCTCAGACAGACTGAATTAGCCCATCTAAAAATCCTTTGCTTCCGATTGAAAAAAGGGTTAATAATCATCAAACTGATGTACATAAATAAACTTTACCTCAGTAAAGTTGTTTCCATCTTTGGATTTCTGGGTCATCTCGAATCAGTGCTTGATATGAAAGGGGGAAAAATAAAACGTATGTATTATTTTTAGTGGATAAATGAAATATAATTGTTTCTCCATGTGTATTTAGAATTACAGCCTGCTTGAGAAAAGTACCACAGCCCGTCCCTTCCCTGCTCACTCATCTCTTTTCTTGGGAGAAAGATGGTTTTTCTGATTGGTGAGACTGGAGAAAATTTGATACTCACTCTCCCAAATTTCTTTATCTCACACAGTTAAGTGTTGATGAGTCATTTCTCTTTTTCTCTAGCTCTCTCAGACCCAAGTGTTACCAGTGAAGGGGTGTCCAGGTTCTTGGCACTTTGAACAAAGAACTGGACAAAACTCACAAACAAAGCAAGAAAAGAATGACACAACAAAAGCAGAGATTTATTGAAAATGAAAACACACTCCACAGGGTGGCAGTGGGCAAGCAAGCAGGTCAAGGGCCCAGTTACAGAAATTTCTGGGGTTTAAATACCCTTTAGAAGTTTCCATTGGTTACTTGGTGTACACCCTATGTATATGAAGTAGTGGCCTGTGATCAGTCTGATAGGTTGGAAGGGACCAATCAGAATGCAAACAGCTGATTGGTTGTGGAGAGTGACCAATTAATACTCCTATGCAAATAAAGACTTTTTCCACAACCAACCTGTGAGAGGGGACCGATCAGAGGTACTTTCATTTTTTCACCTGTGATGCAGAAAAAGGGCGGCAGGGGAGAGGTGTTGCAAAGGGAGTAGCCTCTGGTCCTTTTGTTACTTGAGCACTTGGGTGTGGGAAGTTGGGGTTTTCCTTTTGATTTAGTTCTAGGAAGTCAGCATGAATCAGCCTTAGATTCCCTGCCTCCAGACCCTCCTGCCTCACAAGTGCTCCTAGGAGCTGTACATGCCTCTCTTGTGTCCCCATGCGATCAGCTTGTTACAGGTGGGTCCTGCCAGGTCTCTCGTTCTTGTCTCTCTACTTCAAGATGGCTAGTAAGTCCTGGTCCAGTGAGTCCCCAGTGCAGACATAAAGCGGAAGGGAAGTAGCTCCGGTTGTATCTCCTGAAGTTTAATAAAGAACCCTGTGCTCTCTGTCCCATTACCTAAAGCTGATATTGTGCTTGGAACGTGCAGTGTTATCCAATCCAGCTTTACCACTGCTAAAGTTGATATCACTCTTTGATCCTCTGCTTGCTCATTTTGCCAAGTTCTTAACTGCATGGAATTGGAAGTTGAGGGCTGGATTATTGATTTTTCACCCTGCCCCCAAACTCCAACAGAAACCAAGGGTTCCTGAAGAGGGGCAGGGCAGCAAGAGGGAGACTGAAACTGGGGCACCAGAAGGGAATGTCTTTGAAGTGTGTGTTTGCCTAAGGTGTGTGTAGAAAGATAGCTACTTTTCAGTTTCTGCCTGCCTTTAATACATTACCATGTCCTAATTAAAAACATTTAAAAAGCTACATTGGAAAATGATCCCTGAGGCTGGAATGCTGTTGGCACAGTGAAAAAGATGCAATCAATAAGTAAACAGACAATGTCAGCCCGAAGACCTTTCAGAACAACATGTGTACTCGAGGGAAAAAAAATTAGAAGTCCCTTTAGCCTATTTAAATATTTTCCAAGATCTTTGTTAAATTTCAGGTAATAATATTTCTTCCTTTGAACAAGCATTGTATGTTTGCCTTTGACTGAGAATGGCCTAGGCTAGAGACCATTTGGTATTCAACCTGTGACTATTTTAGTGTGGGGCTGGACCCCAAAAATTCATGCTCGATGAAATGATTTTCACTTACTGAGATGAATTTACTTTTTCTTCCTTCAGCAGTTCATCAATCTAATGGAAGAAAGAGTAGCTCTCATAATAATGAGAATAGACTTCTAGGAGCATGAGCCAATGTCAATACTTTATTTAATAACACACATTCTATTACTATATATTTGGTCTCTATCCAAATTTGCTTTAAATTGAGTTTTCTTGCCATTGCACACTCCTATCTCTCTGAACACACACCACACACACACACACACACCACACACTTGTTTTATTGCGTTTCATTTTATTGCACTTCTCAGAGAATGTGTTTTTTGCAAATTGAAGATTTGTGGCAACTTTGCATCAAACGAGTCTATTGGCATCATTTTTCCAAGAGCATATGCTCACTTCCTGCCTCTGTGACAGCATTTTTTAGCAATAAAATATTTTTAATGAAGGTATGTACATTGTTTTTTGGACATAATGCTATTGCACATTTGACTAAAATATAGTGTAAGTGTAATTTTTATATGCCATGGGAAACTAAAAAAAAGTGACTTACTTTATTGCAATATTTGCTTTATTACTTTGATCTGGAACTGAACTCACAATATCTCTAAAAGTATGCCTATATAGCTTTTCATAACACAGATATCACATTTTACCATATCCTATTGTTACTGAACAATGTTGGTGATAACATTGATGATATCAGTCACTATTACTGGTATCATTATCAACATATCAATAAACATTTTTAGAACATTTTGAAATTGTCAGCTGGGTTTTGGTTAAAGTAAATACTTCTTGTCTGATATATTATATTCCAAAACAATAACAGTAACTGAAACTACCAAAGAAGATATACTTTTCAAAGTAACATATTGTCATAATGTATAAATATCAAAATTTCATACTGTAGCATGACTGATATAAAGAACACTTTGTTGTTGTTGTTGTTGTTGTTGTTTTTGAGACAGATTCTCGCTCTGTCACCCAGGTTGGAGTGCAGTGGCACGACCTTCACCATGTTGGCCAGACTGGGCTCGAACTCCTGACCTCAGGCAATCTGCCCACGTTGGCCTCCCAAAGTGCTAGGATTATAGGTGTGAGGCACCATGCTCAGCCACAGAACACTTTTAAACCATTGAACTAGATAGAGGGGTTATAAAACTCTCATATTTCATTTTTTTTTTTTTTTTTGAGACAGAGTCTTGCTCTGTCACCCAGGCTGGAGTACAGTGGCACAATCTCAGCTCACTGCAACCTCTGTATTCCGGGTTCAAGCAATACTTGTGCTACAGCCTCCTGAGTAGCTGGGATTACAGGTGCGTGCCACCAAGCCCAGCTAATTTTTGTACTTTTAGTCGAGACAGGGTTTTGCCACGTTGGCCAGGCTGGTATCGAACTCCCGACCTCAAGTGATCTGCCCACCTTGGACTCCTAAAGTGCTAGGATTTCAGGCATGACTGACTTCACCTGGTCTATTTCATTCTTTATATGCAGAAAAACTCTAAATCTAGGGTTGGTGCTTCTGAGCAGTAGGCATCTATGTATTTAAGAATATTATGGAATCTTCTGGTTTCTCCAATCCCGTCCACCTACCTTCATTAGGATGTCCTGGGCATCTCAGGTGTTACTAGTGCCATTGACCCTTGAACAACACGGGTTTCAACTGCCCTGGTCCACTTGTACATGGATTTTCTTTTGCCTCTGCTATTCCTGCAAAACCAACCCCCTCCTCTTCCTCTTCTGCCTCCTCAACATGAAGATGATGAGAATGAAGACCTTGATGATTGATCCACTTCCACTTAATGAATAATAACTATATTTTATCTTTGTTGTAATTTTCTTAATAACATTCTCTTTTTTGAGCTTACTTCATTGTAAGAACTCAATATATAATACATATTATATGCAGAATATGTGCTAACTGACTGTTAATGTTATTGGCAAGGCTTTGGGCCATCAGTGGGGTATTCATAGTTAAGTTCTTGAGGATCAAGTTATACTTGGATTTTTAACTGCATGAGGGGTTGGTGCCCCTAATCTCCACATTGTTCCAGGGTCAAATGTGATTTCCCAGCCCCTGGGTCTCTGGTTTCTGACCTGCTACTGACCTATTTCCAACTTGTTCCTGACTTGGCTTTATAGTCTCCTACTTTATATCCCCCTTTATTCCTTGAACCAGGCCTTTGACTTTGGGATCCCTTCAAGAATGCTTGGCTCCTTCCCTCTTGGCTACACATACACATTGTTCGGAGAGATAAGCACCCCAGCAGGCTCTAGATGCAGCTGCTGTCCTAGTTTCTCTTGTGGGTGGATTTGGGACAGCAGGGATTCAGACCATAATGTGGTTGTTCCTCATCCTTTTTTACCTGTTAAGCATTGGATTTCTTCAAGGCATAGTGCTAGGGAAGCCTACTTACTCACTCTGTATGCTCTCTGAAAGAAGAAAAATCCACATTTATTGAGTAGTTAATTGAGTGGCTACTAAATACTGAGAACTATGCTAAAAGTTTTAAAAGCAACAAGCCATTTTAATACTCCCAACAGCGTTATAAGGTAGAGAATAGTATATTCTCTGTTTTAAATATATGCGAAATGTGGAGTATTTGAGTAATTTCTTCATGGTTGCACAGCTAGGAAGTAGCAGAGCTGGGCTGCAAACTGAGGTGGCTTCATTCCAGGACTCCTGCTCCGAACCACTACCTTATATTGGCATTGGTTTCTATGGAAATCTTTAAGTTATCTCATCCACACTTTTGAGTGCAGTTGCCATCAAAGCATTGATGACTCCCAAACTTCAGTTGCCTACTCAACATCTCCATTTGAATGTCTCAAAAACACTTCAAACTAACCACATTGAAAAGGGAACTCAGGTACCCCAACCCCTTCAAACCCGATCTTCTTACGTGTTTCCTTCCTCAGTGAAGGAAATCATCTTACATTAGTAGTATGAGCCAGATACCTCGGTGTCATCACTGGCTCATCACTCTCCTTCAATTCTGTACCCAATCCATTATTAAGTCCAGTGATTAACACCTCTGAAATACGTTTCAAAGCAGTCCTCTTCTCTCTGTCTTCACAGCAACCACCTTTGTCCAAGCCACATTATCTTTCATCCAATCTAGTGGATAATGCTGTACTAGTTAGGGTTCTCCAGAGAAACAGAAACAATAGGCTATATAGACAGTCCTTGACTTTGGGTGGTTCAACTTAAGATTTTTTGACCTTACAATGGCGTGAACCTGTCTCAGTTTTGACATAATGCAGTAAGGTATTCAATAAATGACATGAGATATTCAACACCTTATTATAAAACAAGCTTTCTGTTTGATGTAGTCTACAGCCTCAACTGTAGGCTAATGTAAATGTTCCGAGCATGTTTAAGGTAGCCCGGGCTAAGCTATGATGTTTGAGAGGCTATGTGTATTAAATGCATTTTCAACTCATAATATTTTCAATTTACAAAGGTTTATCAGAACATGACCTCATCATAAGCTGAGGAGCGTCTCTCTATATAGATGTATAACAAGAGATTTATGAGGAATTGGCTCATGTGATTGTGGAGGCTAAGTCCCACATTCTGAAATCTGCAAGCTGGAGGCCCAAGTCAACCAGTGGCTGAAAGACCTGAAAACCAGGCCAATGGTTTAAGTCCCAGTCTGAATCTGAAGGCCCAATAACTAGGAGCACCAATTTATGAGGGCAGGAAAAAATGGATGTTACAACTCAAGCAGAGACAGTGAATTTGTTTTTTCTAAAGGGGATCTCAAAAAATTAGATGATGCCCACCTATGTTGGTAAGGTGATCTTATTTACTCAGTCTACCCACTTAAATGATCTTTTCTTTTGGAAATGCCCTCAAAGATACACCAAGAAATAATGTTTTCCCAGCTATCTGGATAGCTTTTAGCTGAGACAAAGTGACACATAAAATTAACCATCGCAATCCCTGACTGGTCTCCTCCTATACAGCCTTGTTCCTCTTCATTTGCTCTTTACACTTAGTCTAAGTAATCTTTTCAAGATGCAAATCTGACTATATCAACTCCTGCTTCAACTCTTCAATGGTTCTCATTGTTCTTAGAGAATCTGCTTAGCATGAGACCTTGCAAAGTTTGGCCTCTGCCTGGAGCTCCAAAACCATCCAAATCTGTTCTCCCTTGTTCTGCGCTCAGGCACAGTTGCCTTCTGTCATTTGGACCTCTTCAAACCACTGCAGAACCTTTGCACATGCTATTGCCCCCACTGTTTGTAAGGCTCTCTAACCCTGAGTCAGGTTAACTTTCACTCATTCTTCAGTTTTTAGATCATCTATCAATTCTTTATGGACATCTTTCCTAGCCCCCTTGCAGACTGGGTTAGGTTTTCCCATCATATACCCTCACAACATCATGAACCTCACTGTCATAAAACTTAGTACAGTTTGTAATTACGCTTTTATTTATGTGATTATACAATGGCTGTCTTCTTCAATGGAATATAAACCCCATATGGGCAGGGACCAGGTCAATGTCAGCTAAGCATTATATACCCTGTAGCCTTTGGATAAATATTCATTGAGTGAATTACTTTAAAAACACAACAAAGTTAATTTAATTTAATTTTTTTGAGACAGGGTGTCACTCTGTCACCCGCACTCAAGTGCAGTGGCATGATCATAGCTCACTGCAACCTCAAACTCCTGGGCTCAAGCAATCCTTCCACCCCCACCTGCCGAATAGCTGAGACTACAGGCATGCCCTGCCATGCCTGGCTAATTTTTTAAAAATTTGTTTTTTGTAGCTACAGTGTCTCACTATGTTGCTCAGGCTGGACTCAAACTCCTGGCCTCAAGCGATCTTCCTGCCTCAACCTCCCAAAGTGCTGGGATTACAGGAGTGAGTCACTGAGCCTGACAGTTAATTTTAAATATAAGAGATTAAAGGGTAAACACTAAATCTATGGTGAATGATAGATCGTATATTAAATTTTAAGTCAGTTAAAGTGTTTCTCCATTCTATTGTGAACTTCTTCACATGCTCTGAATATCTCATTGTATAATCCTTTTAATTTTCTCAGTGGCATGTGACAGAAGGACATGATCCGGTTTTTTCCATCCCTGGGTCCTGAGACTTGTCCCCACTCTGATCTGTGTAGGGAGAGCGGGCTGCTCCAGGACATTGGCTGGCTGCCTGCTTTCCGTCACACTCAGGACACTTCCCTGCATCTCTTCCTTCTGGTGTTCCCAGCCAGCTTCCTGCCTTGATGTCAGAACTGCTTGCTTGGGGCAACTCCTCAAACTCTTCTTTCTGTTTTTTTTTTGTTGTTGTTGTTGTTTTTGTTTGTTTTTTAAATTTTATGTTCCTATAGGTTCAGCAGAAGTCGGGAATTGGGGGTTGGTGGGGGTAAAGGGATGGTGGTGGTAATACCAATGGCTGGGCTAATTCCTGGGTCCTGGCAGTAGGAGAATTTGTGAAGATCTGACCTGAAATCCAAACTGTCTGGAAGAAGGGACAGGGAGTTTGGGATTGCATGGAAGAATGAGATGCTGGTAGGAACCACAATTTTCAGTGTGTTTTGGGAGAAATGATTAAGTGGCAGGTCTACCAACTCTCATCCTCTGAGACTAGCCCAGAAATCTGTATCTTAATCTGCATCCCAAGTAATTCTGAGGCATTTGGTCCCTGTACTGCAGTTTGAAAAATTACTGGCATAGAGATACCTTTGGCTGGGCATGGTGGCTCACACTGATAATCCCAGCATTCTGGGAGGCTGAGGCAGGTGGAACGCTTGAGCCCAGGAGTTTGAGATCAGCCTGGGCAACATGGTGAAACCCTGTCTGTATGAGAAATACAAAAAATTTAGCCAGGTATGGTGGTGTGCACCTGTAGTCCCAGCTACTCGCCACAGCATTCCAGCCTGGATGACAGAGTGAGACCTTGTCTCAAAAAAGGAAAAAAAAAAAAAAAAAAAAAAAAAAGAGGGACAGATAT